TATAATTTCAGTAATTTTAATATTACATTTTTAAAATATATCATAATTATTTGTAATGAGAATTGTTTGGAAAAAATATAGTTTTTAAAAAAATGATTTTTATTTAAATCAGCATGAATTACAAAAAATGTAATCAACTAAAAAGGCAGTACACACACTACATTGATGCATCAATACTTTACAATTTAAAATTATTTTGCATTAGGTAATAAGGTCATATTTTTTTTTTTTTATAAAAATGAATTTAAATCACAAAAATAAAAATAAACAACAAAATTATAAATTAAAAAGAGGCAGTACACATACTACATTAATGCATCAATACTTAACAACTTAATATATCATTATTTATTTTGCATTTATATTTAAAAAAAATTAAATAAGCAAAAATTAAACAAAAAAAGAAAATTGATGCTTAATTTTCACTAAAAATTCACTGTCACAATAGAAATAAGAACTTAATCTGAGCTTAATTTTCTTTAAATTTTAGTGTTTGCCATATTTTTGGATGTTTCAATATTTCTTCTCAAAACATCAAAACATTTGGGGCGGGTCTTTTTGTTTACCAACCAATAGGAGACTAGAAGGGTGTTTAGCAACCTGTTTGAAAACAGTCATTATTGTTCCATTTGGTGGTGATAGTGGCATAGAAATGACACACTCCGCCTTAAAGCAATGTATTCTTTTATCCATATGTTATATAATGTGATTTTTGGTGTGAAATATGACCCGGGAATGTTCTTTGTGTGATTCACCCTAATTGATTCTCTCTGCTTGGCTTAATGTAGCATTTATTCTCTTGTTAATGCCAAATGTTGTTTCAGTCAAGCTTCCTGAGCTCTTGTCCGCCCCTTAAGTGCTGAAAAGTCAAGTTTCTCATCCTGTAGCTAATCCTGGTTTCTCCTCGGCATTCAATCCCCCATTGTGTGTGACTATGAACGGGAACGGGCCTGATTCTGGTTAGCATCACAATAGGGATTGCGTAAAAAAGAGCGACGGGGTGTGAGGGACACAAACGGCTGCTCCTCTTCCTATACCTGCTTATCTGCAGCCGCGGAGGAGAAAGAAACGAGTGAAAGAAAGAAAGAAGGAAGGAAGGAAGGGGGAGGGAAAGAGCGTCTTCTCGCATGGCTGCATATTTTCTCTCGCCGCTTGCCAAAGAATCTCACCGATGTTCTCACTGGGAAACACTGTCTGTCTTTCTGTTTCACTCACTCACTCTCTCTCTCTCTCTCTCTCTCTCTCTTTGTGTTCCTGCTCTTTCTGTCCCAATTAGACTGCTCTCTGAACTGGAATCCGCTGGGGAAACATGCCATCCATGAAGTGAACAACATCACCTACACTCATTTGTCTTGTGACAGCCAGGCGGCCGTGGTGGTCCACTGGATGGCCAGCCCTCTCGGTAGGTTTCTTCTCAGCTGTGTTGGAGAAACTACTTTTAAACACCTGACACGTCAACTTCTGTCCCACTGGAGTCCCGATGGGGCAGGACTATCTGTTAGTAGATAAGGGACAGGCTGTTTTCAGTCGACCCTTTTGCAAAAGTAGTTAACACTAGTATAGATTCGATAATTTTTCTAAAAGAAGACATAACAATCACAAAGAGGTACACATTTAGGGTGAAATCAGACTTTATTATCAAACATATTCACATAAAATGCAGTTAAGAATTATATGTTAGTTGCATTTAGTTTAATTACATTTTTACATTTTAAAAGCTTTTTAAAAGCATGTTTATTTATTAGTTGCATTTAGTGTGAATTTGTCTTAAAATAAACACTGCGAATATATATATATATATATATTTATACATAATAAATATACACAGTACACGCACATACTGTATATTATGTAAACAAAAACTTTTATTTTGGATGCAATTAATCTCGATTAATCATTTGACAGCACTAGTATATATATTTAACAACCAATTACACTAAATGCAACAAATAAATAAGCGAAAAAGGTAAATAAAATATAAAAATGCAAAAAAACTAATATATTAATAATAAAGATTGATAATAAAGATGAACAATATATATAATGTTTGCATATACATATATTTCTTTTTTTTTCGTTTTTGTACTTAGTTGCATTTAGTGTAATGATTGCAGATATTAAAAAATTTTAATACAAAAAATTTTAATATGCATTTTAGTTGCATTTAGTGTAAATTTGTATAAAAACATATCAGAGAAATTTACACATTTATATATTCTCCTCTGTATTTGTGTGTGCAATATTTTGCGACACAAAATCATCTTGTCAAGAAAAAATACATTATTATTGCCAATGCTGACTTACTGTGAACTTACTGAAAAAATACAGTTATTTATGTCGCTACCTTTAGTCAGTTACTCCCCTTGACTGAAATCAATAACCGTTGGTGGTTCAGTCGATGGAAAAGTTTGTGTCCCCAAACAGTCCTAAAACAGAGATTTCAGACTGCGTGTCTGCGCTTTCCATTAGCGTGCACAAACCCATAACAAAGCGCATTTTAAAGTGCATGTGTGTTGCACGGGTGGTTGCACATGAGGGTGATTTATCTTAGTCCATCTCCAGCCTGGAGAGAATGGAACAGGAGCTCAAAGAAAGGCTCTTCAAAGAGAGTTCCTGCTCTTCCTGATCAAAGCCGCTGGTTCCCTCCTCCCGGGCCGTATTATTCTTCAGCCCTGACAGTCCCATGGATCCGTCCAAGAGACGGGAATAGATCGGCACATAGCAGCACTGTGATTTTTGTCCTGGGAGGAATGTGTGCGTGTGTGGCTGAGGGAAAGACGGGGATGTCCCTCGCTTCCGTCTGCCAGGGCGCTATTGAACTTGGTAATGCGAGCTTCGGGCTGACGAGCGGGACAATGTGGCCTGTTGTTCGCTCGAGGTTAATCCTTTTGACTGGGGCAGGACTTGACACAGCTCAGGTGTATATTAAAGAAACTCAAAGAAGAAAGACTTGGGTGTGGGGCCTCTTCCTCATGCACTGAGCTTAAAGGGACAGTCCACCCAAAAAATGAAAATGCATCATTTACTCACCCTCAAAGATATTTTGAAGGTCTAAAAGATGCTCTTTTCCATACAATGAAACATATTGTGACCAGCAATATGTTTTAACCTCCAAAGAGGGCAAAAAATTTTGCCCTCTAAGTGAAATTTGCCAAAATTTCACTTAGTCTTTCACAAATCTCATTTGCACTACTGCATATTCAGTTTTCGTATGACGTACCATATTGGCCCGAATATAAGACGACCCTGATTATAAGACGACCCCCCCTTTTTCCAGATGTACCTTTTGGAAAAAGGCTTTTTAAAAAACAAATCTTGTTTTTTCTCAGTAAAACACATTTTGTCTTCAATTATTCTCATATTGCATATTTTTCCTATTTTAAAACTAATCCTAGTTTTGAAAGTATGATAAAAACTGGAAAAATGTATCAACAATCACATTTAAAAAATATACACTTTTTGATATACCAAATTTGTGCGCTATTTAAACCCGGATGATTGTAACACGACTCATGCAGCTGTAAGGTTTTCTGCTTCTTTTGTTTTTACTCGCGATCTTTACAACACGCATTACATTACGTATTTCATGGCACACTCGTTTCATGGGTATTTGGCGCCACCTATTGTTGTGGGTGTATTATTGACATGCCAAAGGCTAGACCCTGAATATAAGACAACCGCGTTTTTTCAGATGTATTTCCAAGAAAAAAACATCGTCTTATATTCGGGACAATACGGTACTTCACAAAAAAGCTTCCTTTTAACTCTATGCAGAAGATTTAAAAATTGCACGCAACATATTCACATTTTCGGTGCATTTATGGTGTTTTTAGTCATTTTGGAGGTCAGCAGTACTAGTTCCCATTCACTCTCATTGTAAGTGTGAACATTTTTCAGAACTTCTCTTTTTATGTTTTAAGCCATACAGGTTTAGGTTGACATGAGGGTGAGTAAATGATGACATGAGTTTTAATTTTTGAGTGAAATTATACATAATTTGTTAATGCATTATTTAATTAACTAAACTGGGGTTCGTGAGGGAACTGCAGCGGGTAAAAATGACATAAAAAATTAGATGAAAATAAAATAAAAATTTAATTTGAAAATGTTAATAAAAATAAATATTTTTAATAAATCACAAAGGTCAAATGGATTCAGGTGACAAAAAAAGTTTGAGAATCCCTGATCTAGATTAATATTTTTTAGAAATATTATTCTTTGTTAATATATGTATGTTCATGAAATGTTAAATAATTTATTGATATATTAATTGTGATGCACCGAATTTTTTTTTTTATGATACACTAAAACCAAAATTTTCATTTAGCCGATAAAACTAAAAATAAAACTGAAAACCAAAAATAAAGTTTCAATTAATTAATCAAATTTATTAATAATCAACACTCAAATAAAATATAAACAATTAATTTTTAAATTAAATTTTTAAAAACATTTAAAACATTATTTAAAAAAATTATGAAGTGTTTATATCAACTTTTTCATGATATAATTGTTTCTACCACAATTTGTTGTTGAAATATAAATATTTATACTTTGTATATAATAAAAACTTTATTAACATTTTAATAATAGATTTATTCAGACATGAATCAAATAATGAATGGTTAGTGAAGTTTTGTTCATGCATCAACTGAAAACAGCATAGTGTATCACTAGAAATTACATTAACCTTGATTAATAAATGCTGAAAAACTATTTTTCATTATTAGTTCATAATACCTAATGCATTTACGATATTAATCTCTTTAAAGTAAAGCAACCCTCTACAAGAGTCGATAAAAAGCGAGGAAAACAAGAGTGCACAACCAGTTCCGCAGCTTTTTTTCCACCTTCAGTGGTGTTTTTGAAGGTTGTGTGATGGGCGGCTCTCTCTTGATGCTATCTGTAGGCTGGCGGAGGTGTGGAGTTACACCCGTCCCATCAGGCCGCTCCCCTCCGCGGTAATCGGAACCACACGGAATGTGTGCGGGAGCCTTTTCTTCTCCCCTCTTCCCTCTGCAACTGATAAGACAGAAATCTAATTAAAAGGGAGGCAGGCTGGCACACTTTGAAGGGCACGGGAACGCTCCGCTGGCATGCTCTGTCTTCAGGGGTGCTAATAAAAAAAGAAACAGAGGGAAAGAAAGGAAGATTAAACAATAGTGCATGCTTTGAAACTTCCATGTCGTTTCCAGTCCTGAAAGTTTGGCGGGACTTAAGCAGGTTTACAGGAAGTTCTGTCCACATCCCACACATCTGTTAGAGTTCATCCGAAATTGCAGACTCAGACTTGTGCTGTAAAGCTGGACTATTCAGCTATATCTAAATTTTTTTTTAAACTAAGATGCAAGAAGTATGTTTATAGCCATGAGCTCATTAACATATGACCAACAACATTTGCATATTCATCGCTTTGTCCAATAATTACACCAGTCAACTGAGAATCTTAAAGGCACAGTAGCAAAAACAGCCTGTTTAATCAGATCAGAAAGGGTGAAAATGGCCTTAAAAGGCTACATTTACATTTTTGAGCCAGTAAACCTTGACTAACATTTAAAGTAAAAATGAACTCCAAAAATCAAATAAAAAATTAAATAGAAAAATAAAATTAAATAAATAAACAAATCAATACAATTAAATTAAACAAATAAATATCACTTTTTATGTTTTGGTCTATTCTAAAATTGTGAATCGCACCCATTAACTGAAAATCTTAAAGGTACAGTAGCAAAACAGCCTGTTTATTCAGATCAGAAAGGGTGGAAAATGGCCATAAAAGGCTTCATTTACATTTTTAGGGCAATGAATCTTGATTAACCTTAAAAATGCACAAGAAAAAAGTTAAATGCAAAAATATGTCCCTTTTAATGCTTAGGATGTGATCTATTTTAATATAAATGCTCTTGGTACAATGCAAATATGAATTGCTTAATTTGTGCATTTATATCATCTAAGCCCCTTTAATTCATCTAACCTGTTTGATCTGCTAGGTATTGAGCATGTGAAAGGATTCAGAGTGTATCTGGAGGACAAGAATCCCGAGGGAAAGCAGTGCCAGCACATGATCCTAAAGGATCCGCGACAGCTTAACTTCTCTTACAAAACCGTTGTAAGTATAATATGGTTTATATTAGACTTGTAATTTATTGGAAAAAAAAATTTAATGTTCATATTCATCTGTTTGGCACCATTTTGCATTTTTCCCAACAGAGGATGAGCTCCCAGCCCTTCGCTGGTCTCGCCTTTGAGACCGACTACATGGTCAGAATCGTACCGTTTCCCACGTTCCTGAACGACAGCTTCTTTCCGCCATCTTTTCTGCGCACTAACAGTGAGTGTTAAGCCTGAAAAGATACTGTAAAAACATGTTTATGGCCTTATTCTGTCCTACTTTTAGAAACAAAAAATATTATTATTATTAGTATTAAATATTTATAAATATTAATGTGATTTAAAAACAATTTATAATTTCAATTACATAATTTAAAAAAATACTCTGGTACACAAAATAACAAATTACTTATTTTTTACTATTAGTTATAGTTTCATATTAAAATTACATTAATAATTACTTCTTTATGCCATCTTTCCTGCACAGAAGTAAACATGATCTACAAAAATGTGTTTCTGGCCTTATTCTTTTAGGCTTTTGGAAAAAAGTATTTAGTTTTATTTAATTTAATTTTGTTTTGGTTTTATGTATGTATGTATTTACTTATTTATTTATATTAATGTGTTTCTTAACAAAATATTTATAATTATAATTAAAATCATTAAAAATATCCTGGTATACAAAATGACAAACTTATATTAAATGTTAATAATGTGATTATAAATATAATTATAAAATAATTATACTTTATTTGTTTGGTTTGTAATTTATTTAGAATATTTATAATTAATTTTTATTAATATTATGATTTATAATATTTACAAATAATTTGGTACATAAATGTATAGTTAGGTGTTTATAATTTATTTATAGATGTAATTAAAATACTTACAAAATAATTATAATTTATTTGTTTATTTTATTTTATAATTCAATTTTTATATTTATAATTTATAATGTATTATTATTATTTATCATTTTTATTTAGTTTTTTATGAATATTTATAATTACAATTAAAATAAAGCAAACTAATTATTATTATTTTTTTTACAATCAGTTATAGTGTCATATTCTAACTTAATGGATGTTCAAAGTTACTTGACTTCTATGGAAAAAAGTAATTTCTCTGCCTTGTTCCTTGCGTTCTCACAGGTTGTGAAGTGCTTCTTGGCCCAGATAACCTCGTCTGCAAACCATGTGAGAGAGAAAAAAATGTCAAAACCAATTCATCTGTTTTTGTTAGCCAAGCTGTGAAACAGCCTAAACAGGGATCTCAAATGAAGCTGAAACCAACCTTGCTCTTCTTTCTCTTTCTTCCCTGACAGTCTGGAAGCCCAAGACGCTGAATGTTTCTCAGCTCGGATCTAATTTGCATGTTGTGTTTGACCACGCCCCTTCCACATTCGGCTTCACCATCTACTACCTGTACTACAAGCTCAGACAGGAGGGGCCCTTCAGACTCAAACGCTGCAAACCTGTGAGCATTTTACCTAGTTATTGCATTGGAAAAATCCTGGTGCAAATTCATAAACATTTGCATTCATAATTCACCCCAAATGCTCACTAAATTCACCCCAAATGTCATTTTGAGAAGAAGTGTTTCCTAATGTTTTGCATGTTTGCCTCATCGGGAAACTGTAATTGTTTGCATATTCTGTTAGCTCTGAAGCGTTGCACACACGGTGAGATGTGGCTGGAAGTGAGATGTTCAGGGTTAATGCTTCCAGCAGCGTGTAATGCTCTTCCCAGACAGCTGGAATAATATATAGTCTTGTCTGTTGAATCGCCGCTCTGGGAAATGGACGTGTTCTGCTGCTTTCCACGCTTTGGTTGTGCTGGAGACGGAAATGTAAAGAGCAGAGAGCTTTTACAGCAGCACTTTGTCACTTAGAAACTGTGCTGGGAGTTAGAAGATGGCTATCTGTCTTTCTTTTGGCTAAAGACACATGTATTTTTGGTTCAGGACTCGCTCTCTTGAAGGGATAGTTTAGCCAGAAATGGATGTTCTGTCATCATTTACTCACTCTTGTGTCATTCAAATGCATTTGGCTTTCTTTCTCACAGAAGGAGAAGTATGTTCATGCTGCTCCTTTTCATACAGAGAACAGATGCTGTTAGGCTAAAAAAAAATTATAATAAATGATAACATAAAGAAATGGAAGACATATGACAGGAATTTAAATTAGTGATGCTATCATTATTACTAATAAATTACATTATTATTATTATTATTATTTGATCATGATAATTATTTAGTAGTAGTAGTAGTAATAATAATAATAATAATAATTATTATTATTATTAAGAAAATGACAGTACTACTAGCAATAGTAGATGAAAAGCACATTACAAATAAAATTTATAATAATTATAAAAATTAATATAATATTAAAAATGATTATTTATTCTATATAATAATTATTAATTATTCATTTTAATATTTATTTATTTGTTCATAATTATTATTATTAGTAGTAGTAGTAATAGTAG